TCACGACCTCCACGGTGGCGCTGGTAGTTGTGGCCACTCTCCAGAACGCCATGGAAGGAGCCATACAGACTCAAACAAACGCTCCCCATCTTCGCAGCGGTGTAGTCGTGCCAGCACGTTTCCACACCCTGCAGAAGCTCCTTTCTGGTTTCCTTCGCCACGAGTGACACGTCTGTCTACAGGCTGTGGAAGAACGCCAAGTCGTCGACGTTGAGATCAGGATTTTGCGCCGACTGAACGACAACCTGAATGTCGAACGCTTTTGATTTCCCCTGCGCTGCAAACAGAAGTGCATTGATTTTGGTTGTGTGCGGATGCGCACCATCAACTCGTGCTAGTACAGCAGTACCTGAGCGCTGGCCGGCTCCTGGACACTTCTTAGAGCCACGCGGCCTTTCAAACCGTTTCTCATTTTCGCACTTTGGTGTCATGCGCGCGCGCCTGGGGTTGTGTTCTGGTGACATCCTGTCGAGAAACGGTTCTGCTTCGCCGATGTTTTCAAAGGACTCCACGCTTTTCGGAGGTTCAAAAGCCTGTCAGAACAATGGACGACAACTCAGCTACCCTATGTAGGGTATAGATCACTGACATGTTTGTCTAATGCCGACAGAAATATCATGACAAGAACACTAAAAACGGAACGAAAGTTTTGCTTAGCGGAGGAAGTATTTGTGCAGAGTGGTGTCCACATCAGTTTGTCACTTGACTAGATTTGTGTAGAAAGTGATCATGTCATGTGAAAAGTGTAACCAACATGGCTGACATCATGTGACCCATGGATGGCGGGGTTGAGTGGAGTTGCAACAAACATGGCTGACCCGTATGGTCATGTGTTAGACCGTAGATGTAGATGTGAAACTACTGTATTGGGTGGTGATCTCTAACACCCAGCTCTATGCATGCACATGGCTGCTGCTGCTGCCTGATGGTTGATTCTTACATGGCACATGACCATTGCCTATGTTAGGGCCAATAGGCGACCTCCCCACCGCTGCCACGATCAGGCCATTATACCTGATTGACGTTATTTTGGGGGGAAAATCAACCTTCAGTCTTTGACCTCTCCTTATACCTATGTTGAAAGATATCGAATCAAGCACACTCTATGCCACATGTAGCGCTCTGTCTGTCAAATACGGCCCTCGGTAGGCGAGGGCAAGATTGAGCCATCATGATCTCTCAAGCGTGCTTGATTACATACTTACGTATAGGTGTGGAGCTCAGAGCGACAGCAAGGCTGCAGTTTCGTGACTCTTCTCTTGTGTGTAACATTACAATGCTTGCATGGCATCTTTCGTTTTGTGTTCAAACCTTGTGTGTGTGTGTGTGTCTGTGTGTGTGTGCGTGTGTGTCTGTGTGTGTGTGTGCGTGCGTGTACAGGAGTGATAACCCTGCTCTCTGAGTACACGATATGCAAGAAAGGCGACACGCTCACACCGGAGCAGGGCCGTATCTTGGTAAGAAATGCAAGCTTCTCTCTCTTCCCTGCCCCTCTCTCCTCCTCTGTCCTTTCCCCTGCCCTTCCCCAGCTCTCCCACCCGCCCCCATCGTGGCAGGTGACCCAGTGACATAGTCGTAACCGTGGTTACTACGAGTATTCCTGTGGATGTTGTAACTAATTTGTAAGAATCATCAGGTCTGATGTGTGTAACTAACTTGTAACAATCAACAGACAGCAGGTCTGATGTGCCGTATCTAGATGATGATACTACTTGAGTTCTCTTATCCGTATACTGATCATTTTTTCCCGTTTGTTTGTGTATGTTGTGTGTGTGTGTGTGTGTGCGTGTGTGTGTGTGCGCGCGTGTGTGTGTTCGCGTTTATGTGTGCGTGTGTTTCTTGTTGTGACCAGAAACTCTTTGGCCACCAGATGGCCATGTTCAAAGTCAACTTGCTGTGCGTCTGGGCATCGTCCGGCACCTTTGAGCAGCTTTCCGACGCCGTAGCAGAGGGAGCGGACGATGACGCGGACGGATAGAGAGAGAAAACACTGTAGCCACTTCATCTTGCTCACGAAATCATACACCACCACACAAACGGGCCCTTCGGCTATTATACTTTGGGTGGTGATGTATGATATTGATAATCTATTGATACCATATCCAAGTCTGACTCTCACCGTGAGATCCTGGCTACAATATTACCTGGTACATGACGTATTCAGACACTGACATAAGCATCTTTTTGGAACAACACGTGTGCCTATCTGCTAGTGTAATGTGACACACATGCACAATCAGTCATAGCTAATTTTTATTCTGTAGTGCGCGGACAAGGAGTGATTTTCCGTACGAATACAGAAAATATGGAGGGCATACAGAAGTTGCTATGTCCTGGCCCTCATACAGCATTGGGGAGGCACTGAATCACTTTTGCAAAAAGGACTTGCCGAAAGTGGCACAACAAATTTTCAATTCCCAGAAAAGGGGCTTTCCAGCCGAGTTTATCTTTTAATTACAGTCAAATCTGTCATAAGCGACCGCCCCTTGGTGCAAGAAAAAGCGGTCTCTTACGGCAGATGTATGGTAAATCCGGCATACCGGGCATGCATATATGCTTCCATGTACTCAAATCAATGAGAATAATGTGATTTTTAATATCATTTTATTGGATACATACATCCTGTACACACACCTTGTACACACTCTCTCTAACGGTCTCTAGGCTACCCTGCAATTGATATACATTAGCTCAAATTTTCGGTTTTTATTGGATATTCAATAGAATATAGGGGTGCCAAGGCCAGTCGATCGCACTTGCAAGACAGCGCATTTTCACACCTTGCAGTTGACAGCGCACCGGCAAGTACAGTTTCGCACCTGACCGAACGTGGGTCGCGGTCGCTTAAAGGGGAAGTTAAGGCAAAAATCAAAATTTCACCAGTTGTAGTCTTCGGGGTGCTGAGTCGAATGGTCTTGGCCCGAGAAAGCTGAGACGCTCCCTTCCTACTTGAATCCCAATCGAACTCGCGCACTTCCACCGAAACTGGGTGACTGCGCCCTACTAGATGGGGATTTGTATGCAAAATGTCACTAAAAGCGCCATTTCGTTCTTATAAAAGCACGGATGACCGCGATTGGCCCATATGTTGCAGTCTTTTGGACGCTGAGTCGACTGGTTTTGGTCCGAAAAGGCTGCGATGCAGCCTTCCTCCTTTATTCCCAATCGAACATGGTTGAACAAGCGGTCACGTGCTCCTGCGTGCCCATTAGGCCTAGCCCAAATTTGCTCGGGGCGCTTCGATATTTTGCCGGCAAATTTTGCCCAAGCACTTTCCATATTTTGCTTGGCATTGCCTTTCGTTTCCGATATTTTGCTCCATTTTGCTCCTGCTTTGTGGCAAAAATAGCTTCGAATGAGCCGTCTACTTTGGTAAAAGTGGATGGTGACTCTGATGAGGAAAGCAAAACTGAAAATGGTGTCAGTATTTCGGATTTTGTAGCATGATTTCAAATTTATGTACCCCTGACATGTCGACAACCTGCACGAGCTATTTCAGCACGACGTTGGCCCAATGAAACCAAAGAAATTAGAATAAAATTGCCAAAACACACCCGGATCCTCTGTAAATTTCGATATTTAGCTCGGAATTTGCTGGCAATTTCTTTTCGTGGGAAATTTCGATATTTTGCTGGAAGAATTGCCAGCAAATTTGGGCTAGGCCTAGTGCCCATTGCTGCCCAAGTCACCTGGTCACCAGGTCACAGCACCAGCATGCTAGCAGGCGACAACTTTCACACCAAGGTTCAACTCGAGTGACAGGACTGCACCCAAAAAAGGTCAAACAGGCTAGTAAGTTGTACCCTGCAGGCACGGTGACCAGGTGACATGAAAAGCTGCAAAAATATGACATGAATAGCTGCAAATTCTCTAAAAACAGAGAGTAGCTGCAAATTCTCTGAAAATTGTGTCCCGATCTGACCAGCCGTTCAAGAGTTAGGCTTTCACTTTCAGACAGTGATGTGTATTTAGGACCTAGCATTTGCTTTGTTCATATTGTAGTTATAATATGATTCTTAAAAATAGGTATGTGTATGGGATTGAGCAATTTGAGGCCTTTGGCCTCTGGTTGGTGGATCTGATCTATCCTTCCCACCGTTTAGGGCCGGGTTCCACTGCGGCTCCGCTGCTCCGCGGCACTTGGCTGCATGCAGCGGAGCAGCGCGGCTCCAATGTCACTCGCCATTCGCGGTACCGCGGTCGTGGTCCACACTTTTTGATGACGTTTCACCTGCCTGCGAGCGCGAAATCAAACAAATCCTCGTGTTCTGGCCTGAGCAACGAATTAAAATTTGAATTTTAAAATTCTGGCGTACAAAACAATGCAAAGTACGGGAAACAGGTCGAGCCGCGACCGCGGCTCGCAGTTTTTGGTCAAGAATCGTAGCAAAAGCTCGCGGTGAGCCGCGGACTCGCTGCTCCAGCTCGAGCCGCGGTCACTATGGTAATAGAGAGGTTAAGTTACACGTTTTTTGCCCTTTTCAAAACGCGGTGCAAATCTCACGTTACGTGTAATTTTTAGAGGTTAAGTTACACGTGTGACGTGACGTGAAATTTTGCCTGGCAGGATTCGGGTTTAGTTCGCACAAATATCAAATCTTCCCACAAACTCGATAAATCTCGATAAAATTCCGGAAACTCACACAACTTCGGTCGGGATAACCAAGCAAAACTTCCAAAAACTCACGTCATGAACTTACGTGCGGGACAGTCAACTCACGTAAAACACGTCAAATTTTACGTGAGTTTTTTCACTTTTGACGTAAAAGTTCACGGACGTAAGACTTTTACGTGAAACTTAACCTCTCTAATGATGACGTTTCAAGCCGCGAAAGACGAGCAGCGGAGCCGCAGTGGAACCCGGCCCTTAGGGCCAGGTTCCACTGCGGCTCCGCTGCTCCGCTGCTCGTCTTTCGCGGCTTGAAACGTCATCAGCTGGAGCAGCGAGTCCGCGGCTCACCGCGAGCTTTTGCTACGATTCTTGACCAAAAACTGCGAGCCGCGGTCGCGGCTCGACCTGTTTCCCGTACTTTGCATTGTTTTGTACGCCAGAATTTTAAAATTCAAATTTTAATTCGTTGCGCAGGCCAGAACACGAGGATTTGTTTGATTTCGTGCACGCGCGCGCGCAGGCAGGTGAAACGTCATCAAAAAGTGTGGACCACGACCGCGAATGGCGAGTGACAGTGGAACCGCGCTGCTCCGCTGCATGCAGCCAAGTGCCGCGGAGCCGCAGTGGAACCCGGCCCTTAGGAGCAACATCTGATGCCTGATCATGGGGTGGTGGCGTCCCACGGAAGCGGAAAGGTGGTTCTTGACCAGGGAGTTGTACGACTCCTTGTTCTTGACCTGCCCGGTACGCGAACCCGTCGATTTATTTATTTATTAGGTATGTGTATGATGTGCTTCTGTGTCTTCTGACTGTAACTTTATTTTAACTCTGAAAGAGCAGATTTGATCCTTTATGACTCCTTCATTTTCGACACATTCTCTGTACTGGACACATTGTTGCAATTATTCTATGTAAAATAGAAGAAAAACACTAGGGAACGAGTTATGAAGCAATTATCCACGACTGCAACAAGATAATAGGCAGACAGTGCGATAACAGGGCACACAACTGACAGGCTACTGAGACATTCAGTTTTGTGCCCTGTTAGCGCACTTTCTGACTGCTTATTATCTTGTTACAGCCATGGATAGTTGCTTCATCACTCGTTCCGTAGTGTTTTTCTTCTATTTTACATTTGTATCCGAGCAATTATTGTACACTTCCTTTATATCGGATACTGAGCCAGTTATAAATGTAAGAAAGAGAAGAAATACATGAGAACGAGTTATGCAGCAACTATCCACGACTATAATATTCTTTAAATAACCGACGAGGAGACAACAGTCGTAAAATAGCAATGAAAAATATCAATTGTGCACTCATAACCATGTATAAACAATTAAAATGAAACAATTCCAGAACGTTTTCGTGTGACCATCATCAGTGGAACATCGTCACATAGTAAGAATCACTAAAACAACCAGTTAATATAGCTAGAGTAATATGAAAAGAAGCGTGAGAATGCAGCACAGCTAGCGGTTATGCATAACGCGTGTAGTGTGAACCTTTGCAGTGAGTGGTTTTGCACCGGTATCGGAATCAAAGAAAATGGTGTGTACGGCCACATTGCGTGCTACAGCCGAGGAACACGCTGACAAACCCGCTGAACGGAGAACATTTTCACTATCCCGCGAACACATGAAAGCTCGTTCAGAGCTGAAAAAGAACAATGATATCATCATCACTCGGCCAGACAAAGGTCGGGCAACAGTTATCTTAACGCGAATGGAGTATAATACAAAAATGGCTACCATACTGGACGACGGGTCTAAATTTGTGGAACTCGGTCCGGTTTCAACACATGATAAAACATTGGCTCGGGAGAAGGAAATAGTAACCTATCCGAAGAAACTCCGAGCAGCAAAAGACATAACAGAATCCGAGTTTTTCCGAATCAAGCCTATCGGTTCGGTTCGTCCGCGCATGTACGGCCTCCCCAAGATACATAAACCATCCTGCCCGCTTAGACCAATACTCTCCATGATAGGATCGCCCCAATACGCTATATCCAAGTGGCTCTGCGGCATGATACAACCGGTATTAGAGCATTATTGTAAACACAACGTTAAGGACACGTTTGAATTCGTTGAAATCCTTCGTGACAACCCTATTCCGCCTACTGCCCATATGTGCTCTTTCGATGTTGTAAGCTTGTTTACAAACGTACCACTAGACGAGACAATAGATATCTGCGCGCGAAGACTATACCACAATGATGATGACATTGATCTTCCATGGTTACCGGAGACAGCATTTCGACGTTTGATGCTGATGGTGACGAGTGGCGTAGAGTTCTCGTTTGGTGATGTTATATATAAGCAGACAGACGGTGTGGCGATGGGGTCTCCGTTGGGCCCGGTACTGGCAAATGTCTTCGTTGGATATTGCGAATCGAGAATGGACAAAATAAAGTGGCCTCAGTTGTACGTTCGATTTGTGGACGACTCATTTACCTATTTCGAAACAAGACGTGACAGTGAAGCCTTTCTAGATGAGTTGAATGATGTCCACCCTGCATTACGCTTCACATGTGAACACGAGGATTGCAACAAATTGTCGTTTTTAGATGTACTCGTGGAAAAGACATGTGAGGGTGTTGTGACATCGGTGTATCGTAAGCCTACATTCACTGGTCAGTATATTATGTACGATTCATATTGCTCTTCGCAATACAAGACCAATCTAGTCCGAAACTTAGCTGACAGGGCAAGACGCATTTGCTCCGAGAGTAAACTGCAAGCAGAACTTGATTTCCTTCGCTCTGTCTTTCTTAAGAACGGATATCCAGGATCACTGTTAGCGAAACTACTCACGAACAATGCGCCCCGTAAGGAACTGACAATCGGCCCGGCTCCTTAAATAAAGGGTGTGAATGTCCTGAACTACCGGTATACAGTCGTCCCGCTCTAATCGGCACCTTTTGCAACGGCATTTTCTGCTGGATAAACAAGGGTGCTGGATTATCAAATCCTGCCCTCCAACCCGACCCACATGCTAACGTACATGCTTGTGTCGTACGTCAAAAACGTAGTGATTTT